TCTCTCTCTTGCCCTCTTGCTTTCTTGCCCTCTCGTCTCTTACCCTCTTGCCCTCTCCCTTTTCTCTGTCAGTGTGCTCCCTTCCCTTCCCTCTATCATGTCTCCCTTTCTCCTCTCTCTTCATCTCCATCCAATAAACCTCTTTCATATAAAATCTGCTATGCACATCATTATTTCATTGGTCCTAATAGTTATTTTATTTAGCTTGTCTGTAAGTTGCTTCCTTTATGCAAGTCTAGCTGAGGGTTATGACAGTAACAATGATGACTGATAAACCAACATGCCCTAAAAGCCTACTATATGGCCAGCATCACATATAGTTTCCTGAATTTTGTTTTCCACAACTCAGTCTCATTTTATATATGAATAGAATTCATTTTTAGCTAAATTAACCAATGTGATCGCATACTTCAAAGTAGAAAATTTTACTCTGCCGTGTGCTTTCTTGGTAAACTTAGTTCATCATTTTAGGTAGTGGGTTTCCAGGGCTTGGTTAACGACTATTTCCAAATCTTGCATTATGTGACCTGATCTCAAGCAGAGTCCACAGATTGTTCACTAAACACGAACACTTAATGATGATGATAGAGATGATAACAGTAGCAATCAATGATGGTGGAGAAGAAATATTTTGTTTCATCTAAGAGTTTTATGTCTGTGGCACTATAAAGGTCCTGGTTTTTAAGAAAGTAGATGTCCTTCAAGAAAAAAGATAATTGATGTATAGAAGCCCAATGTATATACCAATAGGAAGAAAACAGATATAACAGATTCATTTATTTGTCTTTAAGGCTATACATATACTTAATTAAATTGTATTTCTTTTCTATTACTTTCTTTTTTTCCCCCTTATTTTTCTTTATCTATGGGACTTAAAAGAAAACCTGCTGGAAGAGTTGTTTCATTCCTTCCTTGTTATGGGTTCCAGAGCTCTAACTCAGATTGTTGGGTTTGTTAGGAAACACCTTCACCTGCTGAGACATCCCTCAGGGTCTCACTTTGCATTTCTAAAACAAAGAATTTGACTTTTCACCTCATTACCTTTAAGATGCCAGAAGCTGAGGCTCAGCTCCGGAAGAGAAGATTCAAAGAGTAACAGCTTCTTCTGACACTTCTTATGGCAGCTTCTTATGATTCCCAACACCCATATCCAGGGGCTCACAGCTGCCAGTAACTGCAGCTCCAAGTGGGCATCTGATGCCTCTGGCCTCCATGGGCAACCCCACATATGCATGCTCATAACCACACGTGGATACACACACACACACACACTCACACACACATATGTATATACATAATTAAAAATAACAAAAGCAGCCAGGATTAAAGGATTGAGGCATGCCTTTCATCCCAGTACTTGGTCTACAATAGTGAGTTCCAAGACAGCCAAGGCTGAAACCCTGTCTTGAAACACAGAAAGAAAGAAACTAATGAACATAAATCTTTTAAAAAGATCTCAGAAATATTTCTTCAGATGACAGATATGAAGAACATGACTTAACTGCACTGCTTCCTCCACTTCAAGACCTTAAAAAGCAGCTTTAATTGTGTTTTCTGAATGATTTTGCTTTTTTATTTTCTGTGCACTAGAATGAAGGTGCCCATGGAGGCAAGATGCATCAGATCTTCTAAAGCTGGAATAACAGGTGGTTGTGAGCCTATGAATATGAGTACTGGAAACTGTACTCAGGTCCTATGGGAAAGAAGCAAGAGCTCTTAATCACTGATCCAGCTTCCTAAAAAGCATCAAAACACCAACTCATTTGGATTGTCCTGAGTCTCCAAATTAAAAGCTGAGTCTGCAGTATAGGGGTTATTCAAACAAGTGGTAACAGCATTTTTTTTTTCCTCCCAAGATGTAGGATCCCAAGCCTTTGCAAGCTTCCTTTACCTGCAATCATGTACGCTTTGGGGTCTGAGCTGACAAAGACGTGAGATGCCTTGCATTACATAGACACAGAGCTAACTCATCATAGAACCACTGAATCAGGCCAGGGCACATTTCAGGCCATTCTGGAAGTCTGAACAGGGTGGATAAGACAAGAATGGAGAAAATCTTATCTGTTAGCTAACTGAATTTTTGCTCTTTCTCTTTCTCCCTTTCCTCTCCTGTCTTCTATCCTCTGTCCAATTACTTGCTATAACTCTGGAGAAATAAAAGTGCTTGTTGCAAAGCAGGATTCTGGAGGCTAGTTCATTGGACTCTGAGGCAAGGGTCAGCTCCTCATATTTCAACTGCAAGTGACCCCAGTGAGACACCTACTAGCTCAAAAGCTGTCCTAATCAGTGTTCCCAGCAAGGGAGCTTTAAGGCTTTATCTCTTCCTTTGGAAAAACAATTTCCAAAAGAGAAATATTAACAGAACAAAAGATAACATGCTCCGGCTTGGAATGGGAACAGCTCTCAATCTGTTCAGGATAGTACAGCTTTCAGCTCTGGAAGCCCTGGTGCCTGACAAAAGCTTGAGCCAAGAAACCAAATGGTGGACCCAAGCTACAGAGGAGTGCCTGAGTGGCCCCTGCGAGTACTAAGATGCTGAAAATCATAGCCTTTCTAATCAAACTGTCACAGTGAGCCTAACCTCTAGACCCTTACTCTACTGGGAATTCCAGCTCAACCATCATCCATCAGCCTGTTGCAATCTTGAAAAATCATCTGTATTTGTAGTTTTCTTTTAATATGCTTTATTCATGTTGCAAGAAGGGAATGCATAACTCAGCATGATGTTCAAAAAAATTTTTATTTTATATTACATCTCACCTTTGGCTCTTTGATCCTTCATTCCTTGTAAACAGGAAGGTTTTAAGTCTTATTATCTATAATACTATTAGTATTTCCTCAAAATTTCATGTTTACATTTATTATAGTTTTTTTGAACTTTTGTGTATGGGAGTTTTGCCTGAATATATATCTGTGCACCACGTGCATACCTTGTAACTGGGGAGACCAGAAGAGGTCATTGGATCTCTTGGAACTGCATTCACAGCTTATTGTGAGCCACTATGTGGGTGACAGGAATGAAAACTTGTCCTCTGGAAAAGCAGCCAATGCTCTTAGCAGTTGAACCATCCCTCCAGCTTCAGCACTTACCAGTGTTTCATTATATTTATCTCATAGTCTTTATATATGTTGGAAGGCACACTGTGCATACCAATGATCCTTGGCAGTTTGTTAGCTATGTTGTATTTACAGCCCGGAGTCAGAATATAAATCGAGTGGATTACATGTGGGCCCCAGAGGTCAGCACATCCTCAATACTTTTTGTTTTTTTTTCCTCTCTCCCTTTCCTCTCCCTCTTCTGTTCAATTACTTGTTATAACTCTGAAGAAATAAAAGGGCTTCCTGCAAAGCGGGAGTGCCATCAAAGAATGTACATGGCAGAGTACTGATTTCTCCTTCAACCTCCACATACTCTTTGCAGCACATGCTGCCCCCTCCACATACAAACAAACAAATAAATGTGATTTAAAAATTTAAAGGAAAATGTTGATATTGGACATGGACCACAGAGGGTTAAGAAAAACCGTAGTTTAAGGAACTGAGCATGTCAAGAATATTTTTAATGGCATCTGAATTTCATTACTGATGAAGCCTAATTAAAGGGAGCAGATAGTTTTCTTTTCTTTACCATCCCCATGTTTTTGCTTATCAGATTTTCTATTTTTTTTCATTCTAAAACAGAATTGATTAATTTTATAGCAAAAATAAAAGTACTTGTTAATAGTCAAAACATGATTATCAGTCAAATACCCATCAATATATGGGGATATCAGAATAAAAAGATACCCTTTATTCTACAGGAGCAATGTAAAACCTATCACTTATACAATAGTCATTCTACTCCAAGTACGTTTATCATGCTCATAGTACCTTTGAAAGTTTTTGAATCTTTCTATATTTCAGCAAGGGGTAGAAGGGTGTGGTTATGATACTTAGATACACATACATATTCACTTTATAAACCATCTTTATCTTTTAAGAAATGAGATGGAAAACAACCTTGTACATACACCTGTTCTCCAAGGATCTCCTGAACTAGTAGGGCCTGCCAGGAGCTGTCTGACAGATTTGTCTTAAAAGGCAATGACACCAATCTTATTTTTTGTTAGAATCAGCTGTTCTGGGAATCGAATACAAAGCTCAGTTGGCAGAGTGCTTATCTACTATGTATAAAACCTTGCATTTGATTCCCAGCATCATATAAACTGAAAGCAGTAGTGGTGCACACCTGCAATCCTTGCACTTGGAAAGAGGAGACCAAAGGATCAGAAGCTTAAGGTCATCTTAGGCTATAAAAAACAAACCAAAACCAAATACCCAGTAACTCATAGTTTTCATCCAAATTTCATTACCTTGGTCTACTCTCAAATAGGTTTAGTATATCAGTTTGGGACCCTACAGAGAAACCACTCCACCTTTTAAAACAAAAGGGATTAGTTCTGCTAAGGACTCTGCAAGATTCCTCAGAAACTTAGAGCACTGTTTTTTTAAGACCATATGAAAAAAAAAAAATCTGTGTATGAGCCTTCATGAGCACATGTGTACCATGTCTGTGTAGAGTCTAGAAAAGGGCATCAGATACCCTGGAACTGGAATTACAGGGGGTCATGTGCCACTATGTGGGTATTAGAAATGGAGTCTGGGTTCACCACAAGAACAGTAAGTACTCTGATGTACCCCACTCATTACTTAGGCTAAGTCACTATAGAACAGAAGCTTAAAACTTTGGGTAAGCAGAGTGTGGTGGCTTATACTCATGTTGGCCTTCGGCTGCTTCAACTAAAACACAAAAAAAAAAACAAGGTACAGTGGCACCACCTGTTATTTGAGCACTGGGAGTGGAGGTGAGGTGGGAATTCAACAAAACCCAGTGTGGCCTTGATACTCAAGGCCCCAGTAGTAGGGGCCAGCAGAGATCAAAAGATGGAATACTAACTTCCACACATATCCCTGTGAGGCAAATATTTTCCCCCATGAAAAGACCAAATCTTAAGCAAGTATATCTATAATGATTGCCAGTTTTATTCCTCTGGCTAAGAAATCCAGAGATAATTCCAGGTTTACATTTCTTTTTAATAGTTCCTCACCAAGAGTTTAGTGTCTTTATTGCCTCTACAAGCTGGTTACAAATTAATTTTAATTAATTCCCATTTCTTAAAAAATCTGCAGTTCTTGGTGAGACACATATTCATTAAAAAATACAAATAAGCAAAAGGCAAAATGAAAACACACCACACAAAAATCAGCACTGTTAAGTTTTTTGATATACGTATAATTATACAAGTACACACATAATTAGGAATTTTCCTATATGTGAGCTGACCCTAAATATGCTGCTTCTTAATTCGCTGCTTAATTGTATAATAATGAATAAACACCATTTCCATGCATAAGTGTGAAACTTTCCAACTGAAAAATAAACGTGGAAAATGAGTCAAAATCCAAAATCCAATGAGATGCTGGTAACAACGAAACTACCTAAAAGAATATTCTGCCAGGTAATTAAAAGTAAAATGAAGTTCAAACATACATCAGAAAACGCTAAGAGAAAGAAAGCAGCAGCCAGATTTCAATATGAGAGAAAAAAGATTTCAAGGCCTGGAGCACACAGGGTAGGGACGGCTTCGGGAATGTCTTTGCTTCCAATGCATCATCACAAACTTGTTTCTTACTCTTCTTATCTCTTCCCGAAGCCTTTCCAGCTCATCTACTCCTCTTATCACTTCTTCAGGGTTCAGATGCCTTGTGGGAGTGTCCTCTTTAGGTTCTGGGCTGGGTTGAGCAGGCTCTCCTCTAAGGCTTCCTTCAGCTTCCTCCTGCACACTTTCTCCAGAAGCCTGAAGATTTCCTTCTGCCTGCTGTGGTGGATCCTCCGAAGGATGGCCATCATCTACCTTTGGTGTGTTCTGGGGTGTTCCTTCGTTCTCATCACAAGACTTCTGCATGTTGAGCATTTCTTTTTTGAATAAATTAATCCTAGAAAAAAAAAAAAAGCAAACAAAACCGACTTGGTGCCAGGGAACTGGACAGGCTCTTCCGTTTCCATAGCGACGGACTTTTCTGATTCAAGTCTCTAACAGCAAAAAAGTTTTCTAACTAGCAAAGTCAGGCTCTGAGCTCCTGACTCCACCCCTTCCTCCACCTCCCTTCCCTCCCCCCTCTCCTAGCTCTCTAACTCCATCTTCTCCTGTCCCGGCTCCAGCCCACCATTTTCCCAGCAGGCCCTGCAATAAACCTCTCCTAGCACCGAAATGGGAGCGGCGGGGAAGCAATTAACCCATCCCTTCCCACAAGGCTCTAACACTCCCGCCCTTTCAGGCTTTTCCAAGTCATCCCATCCGCAGCCTTTAACCAGCAAACAGTACGCTCAGCGGCCTCCTCTCTCTCTTTTAAATGTTTTTTTTTTTTTTTTTGCCTCTCCCTTTCCCTTTTTCACCTCATTTCCGCAGGAGGATCTGCACTGGCCTCCCGTGCAGATATCCGGATAGGAAGAGGCTGTGGCGCCCCTGGGATGTGCTTTGGTGTCTTCCACACTTCTACCCCCACCCAAAGGGACCTGAAGCAATCGCACCCTTGCACTGACCTGTAGGTATCTGGAGATTTTTTTTCTCTTCTTGAACCTCGATTTTATGTCGCGCCCAAAAGATCAAGAGTCCTGTAAAAAGACAGGAGTGCTTTGTGAACACGCCAGTGCCTGGATCAAAAGGTCTCTCTTACGAATATAAGCTTTGATAGCACAAAGTTTTTCCATGTTCCCCCTCTTCTCCTTCCTTTTGTGGCAACCCCGCCTTCATCTATACCCTGTTTCCCAGCAAGAGAGCAAAGAATCACACAAGTTTTCCTCACATTGTTATTGTTACTTCTCTCCGTATCTCATGCATTCCGCCTTTCCCCCTCTCTTTTCTTTCTCTCTGCCCATCGGTTAGAGACCTCCCTCCCAGTCTGCCCCATTCCTCACCAAGCAGTCCCAAACCTCGCACAAAATAGTTAAGCAGACCCCTAGGATAAGAGCGATAGTGAGGGATGAGCGTGCTTTCTGGTCTCTGAGCCAGCGCCCACTATTAAAGTACCTGAAAGAAGCCGGGCCCCTCCTCTTTAGCAAGACTGAGCTGCTACTGAGGAACTGGGCCTGGATTATAAGGACTTCTGCACACGTCGACTGCAGGTCACGTGAGGGCCGCGTCATCAATGAGCTCCAGCCTTTGGCTACCCCTCACATTAACATTGCAGCCCACCCCCTACATTCCGTTCACTTGATACTGTCAATCTTTTTTCTTATGTGCCAATGGGAGACAATAAGACCGGTCTCGTCACCAAGTATCTATTCACCTTACTCAGATTACCAGGAAAGATCAGTCTTTTAGGGTGCATCGACCAGTTCTCCTAATTTGGGAAACCATCGCTTTCTCTCCCTTGCTCCCTGTACTTCTCGTCCCCTCCCCCAAAATCCTACAGTCCACCATTTCTCTGGGAAGCTTATTCGGCTTTAAAATGGGGGAAGGTCATAGGTGCGCGCTCATGCGGGTAGGGAGAGACTGGCTGAAAAGGAAGGAATGTTTAGCTTCACTAACCCTCTTGGGTAGCTTTCTCTTGTGTTCCGTTTTAAAGAATCATGCTTTTAAATATTTTAAAAGATATACTTCATACGAATTACTTAACACTAGATGAGGAGAAAATAACTTCATTAAATCAATTTTAAGGTTTCAAAAATATTCTAATGGCTACAAAATGAAATGACAGTATTTACAACATACTGATGTGTTAGGATTTTTTAAATCTTACTAAAATGGAAGCGTTTGCAAACTGAAAAGAGCCAATTTTGTCTCCTTACTTTTGTATTCACAATCCACCACTCTCTCTGGCTGAGCTTAAACTATTATGAGATGTCTGAACTTTTAATTGATGACTGCTGGCAGCTTCCACTTGCAAATAAAGGCTTCAGACAGACCTCTTTTTCTTGTCCTTTGTGGGATCCAGTGTCTTTGTTAAACAAAAAAGCCTGCTTTTCACTCTTTGAACTTTGGTAGAACTCAAAGAAACATGTTTGTTGGTAAACTTTTGTTATTAAGAACAGAATGTTTGTAAGGAAATAATGCTTATAATGGAGCAGAAAGGAGAGAGCTCTTTGTATGTCACCATTGACTGTTGGGCTTATTAAGCACATAGGATTATTCATTCATTCACCCGTGGCACTCTAGATACCCTGATGGTGTTCAATGTGCTCCATTAAAACAAGAGCCATCTCAGAGAATTCCATACTCTACCAAAGAGCTATTTACACCCCGTGCTTATTGCTGCTTTATTTACCATAGCAAGGGATACTATTCAGTTCAGAAAAAAAAAATCAGGCTGGGCATCATGGCACACGCTTTAATTCCAGCACTCAGAGGCAGAAGCAGCAGGCAGATCTTTGTGAGTTCAAGGCCAGCCTGGTCTACAAAGTGAGTCCAGGATAGCCAGGGGTACAGAGAATCCCAGTACAAAAAAATTTTTTTTTTCAGGAAAATGAATGTACTTAGAATGTATAATATTAAATGAGATCACACAATATCAGAAAGAAAAAAGCATATACTCTCTCTCATAGTCAGAACCTGGTCGATAAATATGTATGTTTATTTATTTATATAAACAAATTTACATTTGCAAACAGTATAACATTTAGAAATGAAAACAAGAAAGGTCTAATATTAGGAGGTGAGGAAGGGTTGAATCCAGGGAATGGACATGAGATATGGAAGAAGACATAAACTTTTCTATTTCTAACTTTGCTATGGATTTCTCATTTTTTGGTGATAGAAAAGTATACAAAATATATACAATAGTGAAAGTGTAAACTGCAATGTGAGGCTCCACAACTTCGGAATGGATATTTTAACTACTCAAAACTTTATTGAGATGCATAGACTTTGGTTCTGGTAAATTTCATCACATTGATATTCTTTTATTTGCAAGTTTTTTGTTTGTTGTTTTTTTTTTTTTTTTTTTTTACAAAAAAGTTTATAAAATAAACTGTCAACATGCATGATTGTTGTTATCAAAACACAGAGAGACTATCACTAGGGTGTAAAAAAAAAATAGCAGTATTTTAAAGAAGAAGCTGATTTTCTGAAACCCAGAGTCCACTAGTATCTGCAGGTGTGGTGGTATCTGAAGTGGCTATCTACCTGAAGAGTCAAGAGAAACAGAATGGGGTATGGTAAGGACTGTCTGTTGCAAGTGTGATCACAATGGAATGTATTTGCACAGAATAGTCCACCACGGAAAAAGAAAAGGCCTCAAAAATAAATATTTTCTTTGGTTTAATGTTTAATAATTTATAATTAAGCACAAAATTCATTCCATAGATGAGATGCAAGTTTTCTCTTATTTGAGGAGACTGTGTACCATAAATATAATTATATTTCCTTACTACTTACAGCAAAATGTTTTCACTCTTTGTGATGCTACCAGTACAAATATTATTCATAGCAAAATTGAATTTCTGTATGTAGAATTCTGTGAATTTTAATGTTAGGATTTATTTAAGCATTACTACGGTCAGAACATAGTCTTTTACCCCAAAATTCATTCATTCATTCATTCGGTCAGTCACTCATTCGTTCTCTTGCTTTCAGGTTTTTTGTTGTTGTTGTTGTTTTGTTTTGTTTTGTTTGTTTGTTTGTTTGTTTGTTTTCTGAGACATGGCTTCTCTGTGTAGCTCTGGCTGTGCTGGAAATCACTGTGTAAGCCAGGCTGGCCTCAAACTCACTGAGTTCTGCCTACCTCTGCCTCCTGAGTGCTGGGGATCAAAGGCATGGCCCCCACCACCTAGCTTTCCCCAGATTTTCTGTCTTTCTTTTTAGCCATATCATACCCTTTTCCTTATAGTTTAGCAGTCCTTGATTCCCACTTTGTCTTGTCTTTCTCTTTCAGCAGAATGCTGCTGTTAGATAAAACAGGAAAGAAAAATAACAATTCTAAAACAGGGTTTATTTGGAAGCAACAGCAAACATAATATCAAATGAACATAACCCCATATTAATAATATGAGCTCCTCCAGGACATAGGTTCCTCTGAAAAATGACCATTCAAGCATTTTATGGTCCCAAGAAGGTTTGAACCCCTCCGTGACCTTTAAACTTTCCTAGCTCCCTTCCTTTTTCATGTGTTTGTGTGTGAGTGTGTCCATGTACTGGGGGAGGGGGTGACAGCAGTGATATATGGATTGTGGGTGGAGATCAGAGATCATGCTTCAACTTCTGTTTTTGTAGTGATTATTGTAATAGTAACTAACATGTTTCCCATAAATATCATCATTTCAAAAAGAGTTTGAGTGGCCTGGGAATGTATGTCAATAGTAGAACTCTTACTTAGTGTGCTCTAAGCCCTGAGCGTGATCCTTGGTGTAAACACACACATGCACTCAAACTCATGCACACACACACACACACATGCACACCCATGTGGGTCCAGTTTTCTTATAGACAAACCTTTGTGCTCCCACAAAAATTGAAGTGAAAGTTTTGTCCTCTCTGCCTATTCTACATATATGTGGTCACAGCCATAGTGATGTTATTGATGGGGATTATTAATTCTTTTTTCCTAAAGTCTCAAAAAAGAAAATGCAGTCAGTTTAGTAATACCACACCTGACAAAGAACCAGGTCTTCGGTCTTCTATGAGCAATTTCAGAATGGCAGTGTAACAGTCAGCTGGCTTTGAAATTAAATTAGTCAGGGTAGATTTTGAACACAAGTGAAGTTTAAGATACTAACATAGTATTGATGTAAACACACATCTCTTAGGGTTTGGGACATGGCTCAGTCATTAAAAATGCTTTATGTTCTTCCAGAGAATCAGATTTCTAGCAACCACATAGAGCTTCACAACTGCCTGCAATTCCAACTGCTGGGGATCCAACATCCTTTTCTCACCTCTGCACTTGTACATACATGCACATACACAGACAGACAGACACACACACACACACAAACACATAAATAAAAATGTAAAATATACACATCTTAGTAAAAAGAGAAGAAAAAGTGTAGGTGTTAATTTTAACAATGAGGATGTAGGTTCTGAAGAACAGCCACACTGGACATCTGAGTTAATTATTGTCTTTGTGGGTGTGTGTGCACTCAACCTGCACTGGAGATACTTCTAAATCTGGAAGTGCCCCAGGCAATGCAAGGGAGGAAGAGGAGGCTGCAGGTTAGCACTGTCTTATCCAGAAAGCCTTTTGGTATGACTAGGATATCTGGATGCTTTCTATGTTTATTTCTCTATCGTCTTGCATTCTGACACTCTCTGTAGAAAAATTCATCTTTCACATTTTTCATTGCTGTTTATGTACTGCAATGTGGTGCTTCAATTCATGTAAGCATTCTGCAATGGCCAAATTAGGGTAATTAGCATATCTGTCTCCTCAAATATGTATCATTTCTTTTTGGTAGGAACAACAAAAATCTATTCTTCTGAGTACTTCAAAATTACACAAATTACAGTTAACTACACTAACTATAGAGAGCAATAAAACTTATACCTCGGGCTGGAGAAATGGCTCAGAGGTTAAGAACACTGGCTGTTCTACCAAAGGGCCTGAGTTCAATTCCCAGCAACCACGTGGTGGCACACAATCATCTATAATGAGATCTGGTGCCCTCTTCTGCCCTGTAGGCACACATGCAGGCAGAACACTGTATAAATAATAAATAAATAAATCTTTAAAAAACCCTTAAACCTCTTATTTAATTGTAACTTTGCATCCATTGAACAATCCCTCCTTATCTTCCTTTGCTATCATTGCAGTTTCAAGGGTAAAGATCTTAGAATGGGTAAACACAGATCCTGGCCTGACTTCCATTTAAATTGATTCTGCTTTTTGTTGCCATATTTCTTGAAATAAAAATATGTTCTACAGGTTTAGCATGCATAAATCTAATATATTCTGCAAACTATCCAGAATAACGATTGGCCACAACAATTTAACTTGAAGCAGCATTTATGATATATATTATTTCTTCCATCTATTTCTTTTTCCTTCTGCACACTGACTGAACTCACATTATAAATGATCATAGGAAAGAGTTTCCAGTTATGCAGTCCATGGGACACTGTAAACATAAAGTGCAGTGTCATGGCCACTAACTTTGCAAATTCCAGTAAGTCAGTTTGCTTAGA